GCCGGCCCCACCGCGCCGCGGAGCCGAGAGCCCCGCCGTCCAGCCCCGCCCTCCTCGACCGCGCGCGAGCTGGCTGCGTCCGAGGCGCCCGCCGGCCGGGCCTCACCCGAGTCAGCATTGTCCTGCCGCGAGCGCCTACACAAACGTCCTACGCGACTGAGCACGAGCGCCTACACAAACGTCTTCGCGTTTCCTGCTGAATTCTCGCGAGATTCTTTTCCTCGCCGCGAGGCTGAAAGCTCGCGAGAGGCTCTGGCGGCTTTTTCTCTGCGGCTAGCTGGCGAGGGCGGGCGTCTGTAAAGCCCGGACTGTGGGCGGCAGAGGGGCAGCTCCTCGGGCACTTGGCCGGGGCCCGCGGGACGGGCTTCGGCGGCTGTAGAGACGACGTAGCCCAACTAGCCGAGGGGCCTGTGTGTGCCGGTTTAGGCTCGCGGGCAAAGCTCGTCATTACCGAGTCTTCCAACCTGCAGCTCGAAAATGCAGTTTTAAAACTGAGAGTTCATTTTTCTCTAGGAAGAAGCACGGGGACCATCTCTCCGTCTGGGAAATAGAACAAGATGAAATGGAAATGCACAGAGTCTGCTCGACAGTGAATGCCCCTGTGTTCCCTGCTGTGGCTTTGGGGCCAGAGGCCTGGGGACCTCAAGACCCTGCGGCCTCCAGCCGCCCGCGCCGTGCAGAAGCCGGCCTGGTCCTCTGGAAGGCGTTCGTTGCACTCCTGCGGATAAGGAGCTCGTTCGCTGCCTGGGCCTTACTCGGGTTGCTCCCCAGTTGCAGCCAGCAGTGACTGTCAGAGAGCAGAGCGCCTGGTGCACAGTCGTCCCGTTGAAGGGCGCCTGGATGCTGGCCCGGAGCCATGGGGACGAATCGGAGAAGACCTCGATCAGGGCAACTGGACCCGGGGGTGTAAGCGGAGCTTCAAGTGTGCTAGCCCGCGAGAAGTTGAGGGAGTCTATCACTAAGGGAATTGCAGGCTTAATATCGTCAAACAAGTCTCCCAGTAACCCAAACATGAATCTGAACTAGAATTTAAATCTGGAGCAGAAGAAGATAGGGTATTCCGAGTTAAAAAGATTAAATAGATGTACCTGACGTTTTTACTAGGCTTAACTTTTAGCCTTTATACGTGGAGAGATTGCATTAAAGTGTATTAACATTTATTACAATATGTAACAGCTAATGAATTAATGCACTTTATTTACAATGTAGACATAAGCAGTCGGAGACATAGACCATCTGTTAGGGAAGTACTGTATTATCCGTGGGAAGAGATAACTAGTGCTATCTTGTGCCTCCGCATGTCTGTTATGATTTTTTTTAAAAAAATGTATTTAGTACAGGGTCTCACTACACAGATGAGATTCGTAGTGATCCTCCTGTTTTCAGCCTCCCCGGTACTGGGATTACAGGCTTGCGCCACCCTGCCCAGTCTCAAATCTCTGTCTCAGCGTGCCCCAGGGGCAGGGCTGGCGCTGCACACTGGGGATCGAACCCTGGTCCCTACATCTGCCTAAGCAAGTGCTTTAATCTGCTGATACATATAGATATATGTGTCTATATCTTTTTTATTTTTAATTATTTTTGCAGAACTGGGGATTGAACTCAGACCCTTGCACTTGTCAGGGAAGCTCTTATTTTACTGAGCCATCTCCCCGGCCCTTGATGCTATATTTAGCTGTCATTAAAAATCATGTTTCAGGCCAGCCAAATATCTCAGCGGATTAAAGCACCTGCTTAGGCAGATGCAGGGACTGGGGTTCCATCCCCGTGCCAGCCCCGCCCGCCCCCGGGGTGCACTGAAATGGAGATTGAGACTGGGCATGGTGGTGCGCCTGTAATCCTAGGGCTTGGGGGACCCTTCAGGATCCTTCCTGAAAACGGGAAGGATCACTACAAGTCCCATCTATGTAGTGAGACCCTGTATACCCTGTACTAAATACTTTTTTAAAAAAGGAAAGAAAAAAACATGAATGTTACATATGTGTGTGCATAATTGCCTTAAATTTTTTTCATGAAAATAAACTCATTCTAATCTGATACAGCTTTCTTTAAAATCATATTAAAAATCTTTACTCATTCAAAGAAAATCATTTAAATCCAATGAATGAAAAGAAAAACAGTATACTGATATAAATTAATTTTATTGTGTAAAATATCATAATTCAAAATAAGAATAAAAATGTAGCATATATAAATGTAGCATATATCAAAATAGGCAATTAATTGCTAAAAATCAACCTGGATTTACAAAATACCTTTTAAAGCATTTTTAGAATGTTTCATGAAAGCTTTTTTTTTTTTTTTTTTTTTTTTTGCAGAGTCGGGGATTGAACTCAGGCCCCTGCGCTTGCCAGGGAAGCTCTTCCTCCACTGAGCCATCTCCCTGCCCCCCCCCGCCTCCCCCCGAAATTACTTTTTCAAGCTATATAAAATATTGATCCTATTTTACCACACATTTAATTTCAAAACCATTTTTTTTCTGTTTGTTAAGTGGAATAAGTAATTACTGTGCACTGCAGTAAACACTGGTAGGAAACAAATGTTACGATCTTTACTTTCAGCCAGATAAACACTAAACTTTTTAAAGTTAATAAATGTAAATGTTACAAAAGGAACAAAAGAGATGCGCCATTACTCCTGTAAGTTCCGACTCCAGATTTCCAGTGTGTCTCCAAATCTTGCCCTCACGCTTCGGCCACTTCAGACTCGCGCTGCCACCTGTCTCGCACCGGCGGCCACGTGGCCATGTGTGAAGGCTGGCAGGCCGTGCCACGCTGACCACGGCAATGCACAGCCCGTTAATGACGTCAGGCACTTAAAATGTGGAACGCAAGTGACGTCAGAAGGAAGCATACTGAACACCCAAGGCCGACGCGCTTTTGCTACCCTCAGATAACACCATGGATGGGTCCGTGTGCAGTCCCAGACGCACCGATGTTCCAGTGATCAACTATTCCGCTGTTATGAGTCTCACCTGGATATAAGGGACTGCTGTACATTAGGTGAGTCTTTACTAAAAATATGCATAAGTTGCCCAAGTAACGAAATATAAAGAATTCTATGGCTGTCATTCTTAAGAGAAATACATTTTAAATTCAGAAATTGTTTTGGAATCATTTATTATGAGAGGGGTGGGGAGATGGCTCAGTGGAATAAGTGCTTGCCTGGCAAGTTCAAGGTCCTGAGTTCAATCTCTGGTACCTCCAAAAAACAACACTAACAATGAAAGAGGCTCTTTGCTAGGCGTCGCTGCGGACTGTGGGAGCGCGGCAGCCATGGATCAGGTAATGCGGTCTGCGGCGCAGTGAGCAGTTTGTGAAGGACTCCATCCAGCGGTGAGGAGATGTACCAACGCAGAGGGGAAAGAAGGCCGGAGGATGCCAAGGCAACACACGAGGATTCGCGGCAGGGGCGGCGGCTTCTTTGTGAAGCTGATCCACACCCCCATTAACAACATCATTGTGGGTGGCTGACTACTTTGGAAGAGTGCTTAGGGGTGGAGAAGCTCATGAAGTAAAAGTTTACCTCTGTTTTGTGCTTTTGGTTTTTCCTTCCCCTTCAAAGTGTTTTCTATTTGTAAATTAACATAATTTCAAAATTTCTTTTCCCATCACAAACACACACACACACACACACACACACACACACACACACAAATAATCTGAGCCAACATTTTTATCCTTATTGCTTTAGTACCAAAGGTATTTGCTGTAACAGTCTCTGGAGCTGCAGAAGATTTTTCACCTCTTTTGCTTGTAACTTCAAGGCATGAAAGCATTAGACTAATCCAGCACAGTCAGTATGGCTGCTGGTAGAGCAAGCGCGAGACAGCACGCTGAGCTCTCACAGTGTCTGACATTGAAAACAGGAGATTTTGGGGACTCTTAATATCTCATGAACATGTTTTTTATTAATTAAAAAATTTTAAGTTAAAGGGGCGGGGGAGATGGCTCAGTAGAATAAGCGCTTCCCTGGCAAGCGCAAGGGCCTGAGTTCAATCCCCAGTTCCGCAAAAAAAAAAAAAAAAAAAAAATTAAGTTAAAAAAATACACTAAGACTTTCATTTTTTGAGATTATCATCAAAGCAAGCAAACAACAAAAACAAATTTGAACTCAATCCATGGGTGATATTTTCAAACCATATAATTTGGTAGAATAAAGATCGGAGAATCTTTTTTAAAAAAGGCATTATTCTAAAGGTCAAATTAGAATATACAGTTAAAGAATGTTAGTATAAAACATACCTCAAATCATAAAATACTTGTTTATGTAGTTCATGTCTATTAAGTACATTAACTCTTACAGAGACAACTTAAACACAGTATTTGTAGAAAAGTGCACAGTATAATTTTTTTAAAAAGTTTTAGAAAAATACAAAAATAGTTAAAAAAAAAAAACTAGGTTATAAATTCCCACGTTTCCCTTTCATGCATATGCATTTTAAAAGCTGTTTAACTTAGAAATACCGACACCAAATGAAGTTATGCAGAGTCCACAGGCTCTCCTGAAGAGGTGTTCCTTCAGGAGTACGCCCATGAATAGGGATACATGAGTCAAAAAGTCAACATTAAGTCTTGCTACTTTGGTCCAAATGCTCATCCCATTTATTGGTCATTTAGGATCCTTTCTGCTGTAACCAAGAAGAACATGGAGAAGTAATGCTCAGGCATGGTCCTTGGCTGGCATTCTTCCCACCAGAAGCCACTAGGGCAGCCTGGCACCAGTCATCAGTGACCAAGGTTTCCTTTTGTGACAGAGGTCCCCATCCGCTCGCTGATGCGCAGGGCGCTGCTCCACAGGGCTCGCTTAGGAGATCACATCACGAGCATCACTGTTGGGTCTCTGTCTGACGGCCAGAGGAGGAAGCGGCTTCCCATAGAAATCTGCATAAACGGGAAACCAAGCACACAAGACAGTTGCACTCATCAAAAGTGTTGACCTAGGCCATTACTGCTCAACTAGTATCTTTCAAAAACTAAGCCATGTATTCACTTGTTCAGTGAAACAATGGTAAGATAGAATTAAAAACAGAATCCAAGAAAGCAACTGAATCCACTTCAATTAATTCAAAACAGAACAACTAGGGTAAATTGTATGTGACTGAGTAAAATGTTGCACCAAATGAATATAAATATTATTATTTTTGTTTCCAACTGCATGTTCAACAAATGCAAAATATTTAAAATCTATGGCTGGGAATATAGATCAGTGGCAGAGTGCCTGTCTAGCAAGCATGAAGTCCTGAGATCAATTCATGGTATCAAGAAATACATGCATACAGACACACATACATACATGCAATCTACACAGTGTATTTCTAAGCTTCTGATAAATCAGCATTTATGCATGCCATATATTCTTAAGTAGTGGCTTTATTTGTAGATATTTTAGGAAAAGCAAGTTGGACTCTTTCACAGTAATGCATCAGTATAACTCAATGCATGAGTGCCTATTTTATACAAAACTGTGTTGCCCTGCATAATAAACATCTAGCCCTTATCATAAATTGGCTTCTAAACTTAACGGAATATGTAAACCATCAATAGGTAATTGCTTCTGATCTATTACCTAAAGCTTATTCTAGAAGCACAGGTGTTCAAGATTATTTGAAATGAAAAAAGTAAAAATGTATTAGTATATTTTTTAAAACTATTAATTCAAAGCAACTATTAATCCTCACAGACACCCTAACAGATCCTAATGTAACAGTATAACACAGTGAGCTAGAGGTGTGTGTTTCAGAGCTGAACAAGCCAAATTCAAATCCTAATTCTGCCCCCTCTTAGCTGCATGACCTTGGTGTACAGGTTCCTCGTGAGCAGAAAGTGGATACTGTTGTTTACTTAACACAGTTATTAGGGAGAATTAAAGAAATGTAAGCACAATGGTAGTTACTAATATTGTCATAATTAAAGTGACAACAGGTACTTAATTATTATACTAAATTTAAAATATACATTCTCTAGTTTCTTGAGTTAAAAATGAGTGAGAATTTTAATATATGATAGAACTCATAATTTAACCAGACTATGTTTTTGGGTTTTTTTGTTTTGGTTTGTTTTGGTTTTTTGGTACAGATTCTCACTATATAGATAGGACACGCAGTGGTGGTCCTGCTTCCAGCCTCACAGAGCCGGGATTACAGGCGTGCGCCATCACACCCAAACTCCATTGCTGGCTCACTGTGCCCCGGGGGCAGGGCCAGTGATGTGTGACAAGGGATCAAATCCTGGTCCCTGAGTTTGCCAAAGCAGGTGCTTAATCTGCTGAGCTATCTCACTAGCACTAGAAAATGCCGGCCCTGCCCCCGGGGTGAGCTGAGACAGCAATTGAGACTCGACGTGGTGGCGCATGCCTGTAATCCCAGCTCTTGGGAGGCTGTAAAAGGAGAATCACTAAAGTCCAATCTAGTAGTGAGACCCTGAACACCTTGTAGACCCTTCCCTAAAATACAAAAAAAGAAAAAAGAAAAAGAAAGAAAGAAAGAAAGAAAGAAAGAAAGAAAGAAAGAAAGAAAGAGAGAGAAAATATTATTGGTAAGGGTATTGAACTAAATTGACTAACTGAACTGCCAACACAATTCTTCATAAATTACACCTAGCCAGGTTGGTAGCACTCACTTCTAATCCCAGCACTCTGGAGGCTGAGGCTCAAGGATCACTATCACTGCAAGTTCAAGGCCAACCTGGGCTACAAAGTGAGTTCAAGACTGACTGGAACTACATAGTGAGCTCCTCTCTCAAAAAACCAAAAATCCTCATAAATTTTTTTTGGCCAGCTCAGCCTGACCTGAGGTGGGGCTGGTGTGGGATGCGGTGCTAGGGATCGAACCATGGTCCCCTGCTCCTGCCTAAGCTTGCCTCACCAGGCACTACAGACCACTGAGCTATCTTGCTGGCCCCCTACAACATTTTATCTTCTTTCCTAATTTTTTTTGTTAATTTTATTGAGAAACAAATAACAATGAGACTGTTTCAAAACAGGTTAGTAGGACAGTTTCAATAATTAATACATTGCATATTGTTTTCTTCGTAGTAGTTATTCATAGTACAAGATGCAGACATGATATCCTGTCCAAACACTATTAGTACAAAGTTTTCTTACTGAATTAAGAGAAAGTAGCTGTATATCTATCCTACTTTGTATATACAGATACACAATGGTTCTTCATTTGTATCCCCTTTTTTTGTTTAGTTTTGTCAGAGATGGATATTCCATTGCCATTTAAATTCCTTTCCTAATTTTAAAATTTGAAAATATTGTCTGCAACTAGCAACATTGTGGATTAGCTTCTCATAATGCACAATGATAATGCGTAACATACTCATAAAGTCCGGCTTGAGTGTGCACACACAATAAATACAGAATGACTTTTTAAATCTCCCTCAAGCATCCCTCTTGCCTACTACTGAGCAAATTTTATAGGCTAGAAAAGTAGATGAATTTTTTACTAAGGTCAGTGTCTATAATCAAAGTAGGAGAATATGCCCTAAAAATTCCCAATCTGATTTTAGCAAGATTTTGGGGGGCTGGCAAGATAGGTCAGCAGACTAAAGCACCTGCTTAGACAAGCTTAGGCAAGCACAGGGACCAAGGTTCAACCCCTGTCACCACATGCTGCTCCTGCACACATCTGTAATCCCAGCACTGGATTTATTTTAAACCCTAATAAAATATAATTTTACTTAAATGTTTTTAAAGAATTACTGAACACATTTTAAAATTTGTGAAGGTACAATATTGTGCACTGAGAAAGTAAAATTTGTTATAATGAAAATTAATTAAATGTTAAGCATGTAGTAGCTGCATTAACTTAACAGTATTATTTTAAATCTTTCTTGGAAATTCTCTTTTAAAATCAAGCACCAAAAAGTGTGGTTAGAGGAAACTCCTTAGTCCATTTCCTGCCTTTCTTCTAAACTGTCCTCAGCTGTAACGGTCCCCTGGATGTCACCAGGGATGGTCTGTACCCGCCTGGGCACGCTTCCCTCACCAACAGCGCGCCGTCATTTTTTTTCAGTGGCATTCACTCAGCAAAGCAACGTGCAACTGCGGGGGGGCGAAGGCCCACCGGGGCTGCCCATGGTCGGCGCTGCCTGCAGCCCCCCACAGCTGGCTGAGCCCCACCGAGCCCCTTCTGTCTCCGAGCACTCGGTCCAACAGCAGCCGCCTCGATAGTGCTTCTCTCTCGCGATTCTTTCTTCCTCGCACACTCCCGATCTTAGGGACAGCTCCAGCCTTCCTGCATGGCGTATTATCCTGTTAAAATGGTCTTTGCATTCTTCTCTAAGCCCATTTTCATGTACTAGTTTTTAGATTACAGCAACAGCCTCGTAACCTGAATTCTTACCTCAAGAAAGCCACCATCAAGACTATATTTTATACATTATGACAATTATTTTTATGTGCATTAAACACGACTTTTTCCACACCGAAAGCAAATATTACCTCTTAAAAATTATAGCACATCCACTCATCTTTACAAATAGGTGAGACCCTAATCTGGTCCCAAGCCAGAATTCTACTTTTAATGTTCACTGCAATTTAAAAATTTCTATCGTATCCATTCTGTGCACATGATCCTAAGTGGCAGTCCCGTGCTAGTCTGCAAATAAACAATGTTCTTCCCACCTCTCTGCCTCACACAGTCTGCTTCTTGCGCTCACTCCTCTCACTCATTGAAAACCCCGTTCTCCCACTGCTCGCCCTACCTGCCCACAGCCAAAGCGCAGCAGCTCTCCACCCCAGAACTGTCACGGACAGGACACGAGCTGAAATATTATTCTGCTAGCTGAGGCCCTCTGCAGGGCAGCATGGATGTCACACCCATCTTCGCCGTACAAATGTGTTAGCTGATGTCAAATACAAACCAGGTGCTTACTGCATGGTAACTTCAGTGAGAAAAAGAACTGTACTATAAAATAATTTCTATATGTATATATGATTGTATAAACACACTAACGTTATCCTGCTTCTAACGCTATATTTAAATCCATAATACAGTCAAGTATCTATAAATTCATTCAGTGATGTAATAATGAGGAACTAACCTCTTATGGTCAATAAAAGCATGAAATAAAAATCAGTAATCAGAAGATCATAATCTTCTTTTGCAGCCAGCTCTGGCCACCCTAGGGGCGTGGCTGGTGCGGCATGTGGTGCTGGCAATCGAACCACAGTCCCTGGACTTGCCTAAGCAGGTGCTTTAGATCGCTAAGCTATCTTGGCATCCCAGAAGGTCATAAACTTAAAATAAATCGGGCTTGCAAGTTTAAATGATGGCACTGTCTCCCATGTGGGAGAAACCCAGAGTAAGTGAGGAGCTGAATGGAGGACAGATGCCCGGGCGTGGGAAGAACAGGTCCACTTGGGAAGGGGAGCAAGGGAGAGGCAGGAAGAGGAGGAAGGAAAACGGGGGAACCGAGAGCGAGCAGGGAGAAAGCGATGGAAACAAGGCACTGTAACGCGCAGGGACAAGGCTCAAGGAGGCAAAAGGACCACGAGATGTATTTCAGGCACAAATTCCGTACAATGACTGTGATCAATATGCATGAAAAACATATACTAAGAAAAAACAAAGATTAATTGTAAAAATAATAGTAATAGAAAAATCAGTAAGCCAAACAAATACCTTATCAATAATTTTCATATAGTCTAAGGATAAACATCTAACTT